GAGCTCGGATCATAGTAATCCAGCTGCAGGGGAACCTTGATGGTCCGGCTTGTCAACATGTCCTCAGGGCTGAAAGGACGTTTGCCAGCAGGTAGAACCTGACCAGTTCCACTGAGCTTGACACCAGCTTGCCAGGCAATTTGCAACCGAACATACAAGTACGAAGCAAGCCTAAAAACAGGTGGTGACATGGGCTCAAGGTTGAGTGCGATGTGCATCACTTGCTTGCAGTAGGGCTCGGACTCAAAGTTGGTGGCTATGTCCACAAACTTGTAGCCACGAAATGGTCCTTCAGGCATCACAGTGTCGTCACCTGGCAAGGGCTGCAAAACATCCAAATCCTCAGGCTTCAGCTCCGGAAACGGCGGCAAGTCGACGCCTGGAGCGAGCAGCACACCAAAGAGCCAGCATTGGGTCTCAGGCGACCTCACAATGGTTGCTGTCTTCCGAGCTGGAAGTCGTGGCACATCTGGATAGCCACGTTGGCCTAACTGACTGGAGTCAGCTTCAGATGGAATCACACTCCATCCAGGGCTGCCAGGGGACGCAACATGGCCAAGAGCCTTCTGCTTGTCTTTGTCCTCCAGCATCTTTGTGAGTCCGCTGGAGCAGATCCGGTAAATCAAAGTCGATCTGAGCTTGCTGCCAAACTTCGTGCACAAAGCCACCTGCACGAGGTATGACCACATTTGGATAGCTTCGCGGCGACGGCCACAAATCACAGTCTTGTCACATTGCTTGCAGGTCAAATGGCGAGTGTGGCCATTCGCGCCACGGTGGATTTGCTTCTCATCTCCGCCGCAGTAGCTCAGATGCTCGCAGTGCTGGGTCTCTTTCAAGACCATGAAACATTCCGCATGAAAACTTGTATCGGTGAAACTTTTGCTGTCATCGGCAAGTCTTGGTCCATCAGGCACAGCAGGGCCTTTCTTCTCTGTCGCAGTGCATTGGTTCTGAGATCCATCAACCTTGTACTCGTTGGAGTCAGGGACCAGGGCATTCACATGAACTGCAGTGGCGTCAGGGGCTTTGGCATTCTCAAAAACCATGTCATTCTTTGGAACTGCGGAGGGCTTGAAAACTTTGGCATTCTTTGGAGGGATGTCATACCCAGGGGCTGCGTCATTCACAAGGGCTGCATTGGGCTCAGAGTTGGAGTGCACAGGTCGCAGCTTTCCAAAGGATGCAAAACGAACTTCGTTCTCATCTGCAGATTCCAAACTATCGTGCAAAACAAACATGGCATGAGAGGCTTTCTTCGGAGATCCTGACTTCTTCGGTTTCTGACCCTTTCCCTTCCCCTTCGGCTTGAAATTGGGGCATTCTTGATCTCCAACCCAGTGACCTCGTTGGTTGCAAGAGGTGCAGGTTGACATGCTCTTCAGAAACTTGATGGCGTTCTTCCGGTTCTCCTTGGCCTTGGTGTCGAACTGGATGTCGCCATGAGCTTTGAACGGATAGCTATGGCTGCTGCCACTGGACTGTGGCTTCTTCTTCCCAGAACCCTTCTTCTTGGCTCTGAACTGAGCCACAGTTGCAAAGGCTTCCGCAACATGCGGATCATCCAGCGATCCACCACATTCTTGAATCAAAGCATCAAGGCCATCGTCGTCGCTGTAGGCGAGGTAGCTGTCATCTGCTTCGTCGTCCTCGGCCTCAGCGTCATCATCTTCGTAATATCCATCGCCATCATATTCAGGCTCATCATCTTCGGCCTGATCATCAGCCAGGAAGGCATGTTGCTTGAACCTGCCCTGACCGACCTTCCACTTGGCCGATTTCATAGCGCCATGTTGACCACCTCCACGTGCACATCCTAGATAGTCACGTCGAAACACTGGCTTGCCACTGATCTGAGGAAACTGGATCCTCAGCGCATGGGAGACCTTCTTGAAGTCGTACTCGTTTCCAACAGAAGCCAAAACTCCTAGCTGTTCACGTTGATCCAATCCGCTGAAAGTCAGCAGCATCATGCACCTCAGGTTGTCACTGACGGTGGTCTCTTGGGAGGACTCCTTGAGACGAGCAAAGTCCTGTTCCCTTCTGATGATATACTGCTGCATGCTTTCTTGCGGTTTTCTCCAGACATCAGCGCTGTAGAAGGCAGTGAAGAAGAGCTCGTTGATCTTCACTGGCGTCTCAGCTGCTATGCTCTCTTTGAGAGTCTGAATCAACAACTTCATTCCCGCTTCAGTGGCTTTTCCTTCAGCAGTCGCAGTTCGGAGCTTTGAGTGCTCCAGCTTTCTGACAGCCTCGTATGCATGGCCTGTAAGGCCTGAGCGAAGGTGGATCGGAGTGGACACCTGGGATTCCTGACCTTCTCTTCCAAAGTACAAGTCCCAGGCACGCTCTACATATTCTTCAAAAGCTTCCACTTCGCCAGCATACTGAGGAACTCCGTATCGATCGCAAATGATCTTGGAGGCAGTAGAGGAAGTCATGGGAGGTTGTAGACACCTTCAATGGTGAAGTTCCAACCAGTAGTAGGAGGCTGGTGCCGCAGGGCTGCCAGCAGGTCGCACAACGAGCGCAAGGGGCTGGAACCTTAGGCACCAGCTAGCAGAGGCCCTGAGTGAACAGGGCTCCGCTTACCATCAAAATCCCGGCAGCGGCGTGCGGGAAGTGAGGCACCTTTTTCTTTGGGCAAAAGAGCGCTCTGGGATGCGCATGGAATGTCTGCAAGACTGAATGCTGCAAAGGTGGAATGCTATGTCACTGCTGTTTCACATGCAGTTTCACACAAATCCAACCTCAAATACCTGTTTGCCTTTTTTTGTGGGGGGGAATTCTTTGCGTAAAAGCTGTTCTGTGCAAAGGTTTCTCTGTTTAAAAGCTTCTGTGTGTGTGAAAGCGGCTGTGTGTAAAAGCGTAGTAAAGCCATCTGTGCGTAAATGCTGCGCTGTGCAAAAGCATCGTCGTGTAAAGCATAGGTGTGCAAAAACTCCTGTGCGTAAAAGTTTCTTTGCGTGAAAACCTCTGTGTAAAGGCGTCTGTGTGCAAAAGTTTCTCTGTGCACAAACCTCTCTGTGTAAGCGTATCTGCGTATAAAAGCTGCTCTGTGTAAAGGCTTCTGTGCGTAACGTCGTCTGTTTGTAGAAGCGTATCGGTGCAAAAATGCATCACCACACCAGCATCTCAAAAAAAAAAATATGAAACAAAAAACAATCCAAGCTCAAACGTTTGCTGTCGCTACTGTTGTTGATGATGGCGGTGATGCGCACAGGGCCCAAAAGGCGTCAGTTTGGCGGTGTTAGCCAATTCTTGAAGGTCTTCGGGACAAAAAAACACAGTAAATACCGGTATGATGTTTTTGGTGCCTCGCAGGCGAAAAATCATGGCATTTACGAAGTTGTTTGCCCTTGGTAGCAAAAATCACGGTATTTACTGTGTTTTTTGGACAGCACCTAGGTATTTACCCAGTGTTCATCATGTTGAAAGAAATCCGCCCACACCGCTTTGGCGGTGAAGGCGTGCTTATTGGGGGGCAACAGCAACACTAAATGCTCAATGACATTTGTTAATATAGCAGTCGCTATATCAGCTTTGGCTGGGGGGGGGCCAAAAACGGTTTCGCACCGAGACCAGAATACGGTGGTGTTTTCGACATTTTTCGAGGATTTTTGGGTGTCTGAGCGCAAGAGGGTATTGAAATGGAATTTTGGGTCATTTTGGTAGCTTTCCGGCAATGGAAAAACGGCCAAAAATGAAAAAAACATTGTACATAGCAAGATTTTGCAGGGTTTTTGGATGCCAGAGCATTGAAAACACTGCAAAAACAAGTGTTTTGGACTGACGTTATAGCAAAAAACGTGTAAATTACCGTATGCTTGACTGGAAACATTACAAAAACACTGTCAAAAGCAATGTTTTGGAAGGATTTACTGCCTTTATGGCAAAAAACGTGTAAATTACCGTCTGTTTGACTGGAAACATTGGAAAAACACTGTCAAAAACAATGTTTTGGAAGGATTTCTTATATATATGTTGGAGTTGGCTACCGGCATTGGCACATGGAAAAATTGAAGAAAACACTGTAAATAGCGGTATTTTCAACGGTTGGGGAGATAAGGGAATTGGAAGCATTGTCGAACATGATGTTTTCGACCGGTTTTATGGCGACAAAAGTGTAAAGTACCGTGCTTTGAAGGAAACCATTGCAAAAACATGGAAACACATTCAAAGAACACGGGATTTGGGGGACTTGGAGAGCCTCCAAGGGAGGGAAAAGTGAAAATTCCATAGCTTGGGAAGCTGTCACGGCGGGGAAAAGTGAAAATTCCCTAGCTTGGGAAGCCCCCACGGGGGGGAAAAGTGAAAAAGCCCCCACGGGAAGGAAAAGTGAAAATTCCCTAGCTTGGGGAGCCCCCACGGGGGGGAAAAGTGGAAGTTCCCTAGCTTGGGGAGCCCCCACGGGGGGGAAAAGTGAAAATTCCCTAGCTTGGGGAGCCCCCACGGGGGGGAAAAGTGAAAATTCCCTAGCTTGGGGAGCCCCCACGGGGGGGAAAAGTGAAAATTCCCTAGCTTGGGGAGCCCCCACGGGGGGGAAAAGTGAAAATTCCCTAGCTTGGGGAGCCCCCACGGGGGGGAAAAGTGAAAATTCCCTAGCTTGGGGAGCCCCCACGGGGGGGAAAAGTGAAAATTCCCTAGCTTGGGGAGCCCCCACGGGGGGGGAAAGTGAAAATTCTTAGCTTGGGGAGCCCCCACGGGGGAAAACCACCCTTAGCCCCTCTCACGGACCGAAATAAACCTGCGGTGTGGGCGGCCACCCCACGCGAAGCGGGGTGAATATCTTTTCTATGCAAAAGTCGCAAAACCCTTGAAAATTTCAGGTTTCGTGGGAGGGTAGAGGGGGAGAGGTCCTAAAATGAACAGCAACCTCCTGAATAATCAGGCAACAGGGCCGGCCACCCTCACCTTTACTTTGTAAAATAAAATTCAAGGTAGCCCCCACTGGAGCTACCTGTCGTGACATCACCGGAATCTTGTGGAGCCCTGCAGACCTCCAACCTTTGCATGGCATCGTCCCACTTTTTGGACAGCTGCACCCGGCAGCCCATGGGCAAACCTCGATCACCTCCAGGGCCGATGAACATCACCAAGTTATTCATGATTACCGCATCCCATATGTTTCCATTAAACGTTGTGATTTTCCATTGCCATGTTAAATTACCAAAGGGTACCAAGTTTCTTTTGCTACCCTCTGGTAATTCAACATAAC